GGCCGTCCCCTGGGCCTTTTGCCGGTCGGATTTGCAAGGAACAGTTGCTTAGCCTTCCTTTCTGGAGGCTAACGCCGGCTTACTTTATTTAATGCCGGCAGCTTAACCTTCCGATCAAGTTCGCTTTTAGTCATAGTTGTTCGGTCTAGTTCACGCTGAGTGACGTTTGTCATTCCGGTTTTGCTGTTAATCTTCTTCTACTTTAAATCACCAACAGACTCGACACTGAGGACGTGAACTTCTCCACGTGTTCAACCTTTTTTCCATTTATCTGCAAGGCGCAAGGGGCAGTACAGCCGGAAGCTTTCCATTTAGGATACATTCACATGCATTCTGGCCACGTAGAATTCGACTGCAGACCCTTCCAGCCAAAGCTGGAGATTATTTTCAGAACATGGCAACAAAACAATTAGTCTGAAAACAGCAACTTTCTCGCTTCCACATCTCCACGTTAATCCACTAGCCATCCTTCTTCGCCTGACTATCCTATCCATGTACAACGCAAACAGGAAAAGAGGCAGAATGGAATATTGTCAAAGACCAGTGCCAGCACTCTAGGGTCTGGAATTAATGTCATCTACCCTACGATTAATATCCAGTGACAAGATGACTTGTAGCACCGGCCATAGATCCAATACGTTTGCATGAATGCCAATAGTTTCTTCAGCGGGATCTGATCATAGACTTTCTCCAGATCCACAAAGTACATGTAAACCGGCTGAGCAAACCCCTAGCATTCTCCACAATTTGGCGTAGGGGAAATATCTGGCAAGAGTTTCTTCTGTCTGACCTGACTTCAAGAAGCTTGCGCTCTTCTGCCTTAAAGTCGGTTATTCCTTTCAGACACGTCCGTACCTTCCTCGGCGGATTCAATAAAGCAATCTCCCAAAATTGGAACATTCCATATTTTTTCCGTTTTTGAACATTGGTACTACACTCTCCGTTCTCTAATACATTGGAGTCTTAACCGCAGTCATTCCAGTTTCGTATACATGTGTTAGCCACAGCATGGTTGGTTTGTCTAAAGCTTAGTTCTACGCATTTCAGGGCTGAATTCATCAATTCCAAAAGAATTGCAATTTTTATGTATTTTTCAGCTTCAGCAATTTCATCTACTCAAAGATTAACATCCATTCTCTACTACTCTTCAAATAAGCCTTTCTGTGGTTGCTCAGGGTTACGTGATTAATCACAGTACTTTTCACCGAAGCATAAATTCATGCTTGGTAAGAGGGTGTCCAGACTTGTCCTTCTGTCAATCTTGGAGGTGGCAAATGGTCTGCCAGAGTACCTTGTTTGCCGTCTGGAAATTCGACATCTGCTGGTCACCGAACTGTTCCCTGGAATCAACTTTCACTCATGCTACTGCTTTTGCGGCTGCCTTGTGCTCTTCTTCGCACCGCATTTGAATTAAAGCCTCTTTGCTTATAAGCCGTCTCCTAAACGCAGCTTTCTTCTCGGAGTCAGCCAGTTGTACATCTCGAGTCCACCAAGAGCTCGTTTCTGACGCCCAGGCGGCAGGCGAACCCTTTTGAATCCGCAGCCTCAAGAATTCCGCTTTTAAAGAGCTCCCACTCGGTTTCCACGGCAGGGGTCATCACTGGCATTTATTCAAACCGCTGTTCGATATTGTGGGCAAATCTCGTCTCCTGTTTCCAATCTGATTCTCTGCTTGCCTGTACCACCAGATCTTTGCATGGCCCTCCATGCTCCGTCCTTTCCAATCACGCTTGTCCACTTTTTTTTAGTGTCTGCTCCGATATGCGCCTTAAAATCGCCCATTAGAATGGAAGACTCAGTAGTCAGCACTTAGTAAAGAGCACGTTCTACGTTCCTCCTGCGAGGACTCAAGTTCTCTCTTCGAAATGGATGCATAGACATCTAACAAGGTCAAATCTTTGGTCCCTTGTAGCTTCAGTTGATCACGTTTCTGCTGGTAGGCTTCTATCCAATAATTTTTTTGCCCGGTCGGGCTCTACCAGAACATCAACACTTAGTAGATGTCGTGATGTCGACACAAATGGCGTAGCTTCCACGGAGACGTTCAGAATTCCGGAGCACTGGCGTTTTATCCAAGAAAGTGCGACTGCATCCAGCAGGTACCTTGCGGCCTCATGATCCAGCTGCCTCCCTCTGATGAAGCAGATGTTCCAATTTCTGTCTGTGAACTCGCACTGTCTCTCAAGAGCTTTCCAGAGGAATCTTACCTGGCGCACTGTAATAGCACTGGAACCATCTGCATC